TCAGCTGATGACTCCGTATTCCCTTCCTGTTTCTTCAGGGAATATTAATTTTAAGTTCACAACAACTAAACTTCCAGAACACAACCTATTTCTAAGTTGGGGACTGCCTGTGATATACACAGTCTTCTAGAAATAAAATTGCTTGGAATGGATACGAATATTTATTATTATACAGAAGTAGGTGGAAATATTAGCTATCAATAAAACCTACATCCTTGTGCTATGAACATAAAACGTAATTTGAAATCTTAGTATACCATGTAGCTGAATATAGCACTCCCCACACCTGATTCCCCCCGAAAATCCAGTACTTTATTCAAATGAGCTCTTAGGATAAATATTAGTATTTTTATCTCCCACCTGAATTCAGACCAAATGCCTTCTCTGTTGCTCTGAGAGATTCCAGAAGATTAAGAAATGTGATGCAATCATACTGAGAGAGATATTGCAGCAAAGTTCGTAATATCTTCAAATCCTGAACCAAGGATTTAGTCTTGGCTCCAAGCTGGTGCCACAAAGGATCCAGATAATGGCGGATTGTCTAAAACAAGAAAAAAATTAGGACTGCTAAAAGATGTTCAATAGAGCTATAATTAATACAAATTATACCTTCAACAAACATTACCCCTTGTATACATAAAAATGGTTAAACTGGTAAACTCTGTTATGTTATATAGCTGCAAAAATCAGAGTTGTGCTTATATGCCAATCAATTATTCTACTACAAATTACTTTCCAGTAAACCAAAGAAACTATACTTTAAATCACCTCCAATTTAATTTTAAAATAACAGCAAATTCCTATTAAGAACATTGTAAATATTAAAATAACTTGCATTCTTAAAAATTACAACATAACAAACGGTGCTTAAAAAGGAAAAGAAATAAGAGTACCTTGTCAAAAGGTTTTCCAATAGCATTTTCTAAAGATAAATCTTCAACTTCAAGCGACGGGTTATGGCATTTCAGTTCCTTTAGACATGCATTTAGAATGTCCAGAATAGCAGTCTGTATAGCAAGCATGGCAGGTGTCATAGAAACATGAATTTCTACGACTTCGGGTTTATGCTGTTCTAAGAATGAGTTTACTGCTACATGGAACCTAAAGAGACAAACATTTTTCAAATATTTTCTAGAGTTGCAAGAGCTATGTGTTTCTGGTCTCATTTTAATACTCTAATAGCTTTTTGTAACTGCAATTAAGAAACAAAACGGAAAGCCAAATGACTGTTTTCAGGAATACTTTCAACCTCTATGAATGGAAGTATTACTCAAATAAGGCAGGGATCAGCAAATTATGGTCTGCGCTAAACCCAGTGCCCGTTTTTACAAATAGTCTTATTGGCACGTAGCCACGCCCATTGTTTATGTATTGTCTATGGCTGCTTTCACACTGTCACAGCAGAGTTGAATAATTGTGACAGGTGCATGGCCTGCAAAAGCCTAAAATATTTACTCTCTGGCCCTTTACAGGAAAAGTATGTCAATCCCTGAAGTAAGGTATAATCAAAAAAGGAAAAAGACTGCAATAACTACTCTCAAATACCATACAGCATAATCAAAATACATATTAGTATAGGTTGCAAAATGTTTTGAAAATTGATACCTTATGTTTTTCCTAGAAATTTACATAAATTTTTCAAAATCTTGGTGCTTTATTTCCCTCAAAGTGGAAGTTGGAATCTTAGCCAGTAAATCTGCAGTTCACCTAAAGCTGTTGCGTATGTGAGCCTCTAGATCCCTGGGCGGTTTCACTAAATGTACAAGAAAGTGATAGCCCTGGGCTACCAGAAAAATAACTATCAAACCTCTCTCTCCTGTTAAAAGAATCACAAATGTGGTGACCATTTATTTATATTTGGATGTACTTGTTATGAACCTGACTAGCGTGTATCAAGTGCAATGACAGTAAATTTTACATTATAGTGCAAAATTAAATTACGGCAGGTTCTCTCGCAGAAGCTGGTCACATAATGCTATTTACCTTGGCCACAGATACAGCTTCCTTACGAAAAGATTTCTCATCACTCTCTCCACATGACAAAAGCCGGTGTCAAAGGCAATAGCGTTGTCTGTGAAAGCTTTAATAAAACCATGTTTGTTTTTCTGTCGGAAGAGGCGTAAGATGAATGCTTCTTGACAAGACTCGATTATTCTGTGAGCTCTGTACACCAGGATGCCTGGGTGGGGGGTGGGTGGGGAGGAGGGAGGGAATCAAAATTTAAAGTACAGAAAAGACATGTCATTTTCATGCTCGCTTTCATTGATTCATCACAGTTTTCTTGAATGCCTACTTGAGCGTGGGCAAGCTCTGTTCGAGGTTGGGGATACAGCCATGAACAAAACACGTGTAGCTGTCCTGTGGCATTTACAATAAACAATACAAATAAGTAAAATATTTAGTAGGTTAGAAGGGATAAGTGCTGAGGAGAAAAAAACGGTCAGAGGAAGAAGAGAGGGAGTATGTGCGAGGGGTGGTAGTTTGCAATTTTCTTATTTAATCTTTTAAAAACTTGAAGTACAGCTGACGTACAATATAAGCTACAGATGTATGACAGAGTGATTCACAATTTTTAAAGGTTACACTTCATTTATAGTTATTATAAAATATTGGCTATACTCCCCGTGTTGTACAATATAGCCTTGTGGCTTATAATAGTTTGTACCTCTTACTTCCCTACCCCTATCTGGCCCCTCCCCTTCCCTCTCCCCACTGGTAACCACTCATTTGTTCTCTGTATCTGTGGGTCTGCTTCTTTTTCGTTATATTCACTAGTTTGTTGTATTTTTTAGGGTTTGCAATTTTAGATAGGGTGACCTCACTGAAGTCTTAAGTGAGTAAAGCCTGGTTGGAGATGAGGTGGTGAGCCTTGTGACCATGTGGGCCAAGGGAGTTCCGGGCAAGGAAATAAGAGCAAAGGCCTGGGGTGGGGCATGTCTGGCCTGGCGGAGGAAGAATTTCTGAAAGCAAAGCAGGTCACTCATTCTTTTAATATATGAATCAGATGTGAACTATACAAAATAGCTGCCTTTCAGAAGTTTGGGCAACATCTCCATCACTTATTAGAAGAATTCAACTTTCAGAATCAGAGTATACTCAATTGAAAGGTAAATCAGTCCATTTGAAATAAAAATCTTTAATGAATATGCTTCAACATCTGTTTTGTGGGGTGGATGTGATAATGACACCCCTGAATCACAAAAACAAGGACAATCATACGTGTTTCCTTAATTATAAAATTAGAGTACTGGACCAGACGATCTCTCATACGTATGTATGATATACACATGCCATTGTGGTGCAGTGGGATTCATGGGAAATTAGGGAGAGACTTGAGATGACATAAGAGTGCACAGATGTCATTTCTGGATCAAAAACTCAATTATTCTATGACAACTCGCAGTCTTTTAGACCTAAACCAAGCCAGTTACCATATATATTTGCTACAAATGCACTCGCATGTTTTTGCTCCCATGCTCATCGCTCCTAGGATCTGGAAAATGACACCAAGAGTAACCCAAGACTCCTAGTAGTTCAATAGACTCAATTCAGATTCTACTATTTTGGTGTTTAAATTTTAGATTGAGGTGGATGGAGCTAAAATTTATTCTAGCTAAGCAAAATTGTTTTTCAAATACGGTAAAAATTAACAGGGCTATTTAGGACTTGGTAGACAAAAGATTTTCAATAACACCAGTACGTGTACATAACTAATCTACTGCTCATAAAATATTCCGTACCTAGCAGGTAGGTTTTTCCAAGTACTCTAATGGGCCAGAGTTCCTGGACTGAAATATGACAAAGTTAGAAATAATAAAAATGGACGTCTAAAGAAAAGGTGAATCTCAAGTTAAGAAAATGGTGTGCTCCAAAAGGTTGCCATTTCTTTTGGAATCTAGAAGAAGGAGGAGAAGAGAACTAATATTTTATCCCGGGCACTGGGGTTATAGGTACTTTTATAGACTTTTATTTCATTGAATCCTCACAATAACTCCATGGGGTAGGTATTACTATGAGACCAGGAAAGGGAAGCAGCTTGACCAAGGCCACTTCGCAAGTAAATGGCAGACCAAAGGTTCCAAATCATGAGTGTCTGAGAACAACGCCATGTCCTTCCTGTTAAGTGACATCATCCGAGGACCACACCACCCCCTTTAAAAAAATACAAGCAGGTTAGGTTTCTGGGGCAATTCTAGTCCCACATTTTTATGCTCCCACAACACTCTGTATCTCATGCTGCACTGTAATTACTTCTTTACACCTGTCTCCTCCACTAAATTGCTTGAGGACCAGAACATCGTAAGTAGTAATCAGAGAATGTTTACTATGTGCCATGTGTGATGCTAAGAATTTTACATACATTATGTCAGTTCATCCTCACAATGATCCTAGGAGGAAGGTACTATTACTGTCTCCAATTTACAGATGCGAAAACTGAGTCATACAGAAATGAAGAAACTTGCCCAAGGTCACACAGCTGGTAGCTGGTGAAGGTGAGCTCAAACCCAGAAGCCGCCTAACTCAGGAGAGCACCCTACCGTCCTGTCATCTTTCTGTCTTCAGCACCTACCTCATTCCTGCCAAATAAGGGACGGTTAGTAAACGAAATGTTTACTAACATTTAATGTTAATAATGTTGAATGAATATAAAGCTGAATTATGGCACTGGGTATCCAAATCTAACATGTAACTTTTTTTTTAAAGTTTCCCACGGAAAGTGTGTTCTGAGTTCTATTTAGAGATGTCAGGATCTGTTTTAACAATGAGAGCATCCTCCTGCCCCATTCTTTTGAAAGTACAATCTGGGGAGATATCTTCACAGTTCTCCCACTATTGAGGAGCTGTGTTGGCAGGGACGCCTAGGGTGGGGTATGGTGGTGACATTGGGTAGTGACAGGGGAACAAGTTAGGGCTGGTACATTCTAGATTTTCTAGGGGGTTACATGCTTCTGGGACACTCTGGTCCGTAAGAGCTATGGTGAAAGTTCCCACAGGGGCTGGGGGGTTGAGGGGGTAGAGGGTCATCCCAGGGGGTGTAGCATTTGAAGAAATTCATTTCTGCCACTCATTTACATTCCATTCAGCCAAGCAGCAGTAACAGCTCCAGCTTCATTACTGGCTGGGACTTGATCAGAAACAGGAATGGCATTTTGCACTTTTTAATTAGGAACTACCTATAAACTATACTTTGGATATTTCTTTGATTCAGATTGCTCTCTGCCTAATTAGGTTGAAGTGTTACTGGGAGACACAGAGTAATACTGACATCTAGTGGTCATTTCAATACATTTTTTTTTTCGTTTTATCAACTGAAAAAATAAGGAAACATAAAGCTAAATTTATAAGAAAGCAGCAAACAGTAAAAGACTTTACAATGTATCAAGACTTCTGGCCATAAAGAGCCAATTTTTTGCTATTATTTATGATTTACTATGTACCAGGCAGTATACTAAGCAATTATTTATTTTACCTCATTTAATCCTTGATAACTTCACAAGGCACTATTTTCTCAATTTAAGCAATGAGAAGACTGAGGCTTGTGAAAATTAAGTACAGTAGCTTGCTTGTAAGCAGTGGCACTACCCTTCAAAGTCAAGTGAGTCTGACCTCAGCTGTACTGCCCTGCCCGTGCTTATAACAATGATAAATACAAAAGTATAACAAAACTTTCCAATCATCAGTTCACCATGAACCATATAAAACATTCATTCATACATTTATGCATTAAATACTTCTTGAGGGTCTTCTAGGTTCAGGGCAATGTGATAGATATGGTAGGAAGGACAATTATGAATTCCAGAACCTCTCTGCCCTTCGAAAGTTCATTAAAAATTGTCGTACATACATGCATCACTCACCCAATATATATGTGTTTGGTACCTACTATGTACCAGTTACTTGTCCCGGGATGAACCAGTTGTTCCTTACTCTTAGGAAGCTTGTCATCCCATGAACGAGACAGACAAATAAATAGACAGGCAAATACAGTGTGGTATTCTGAAGTGCTCTGACTGGGGAGAAGCATGGGGAAATCAGAAAAGGTTTCCAAAAGGACAGATAATAATGAAATATGACTCCTTTTCTATATTAATTCTGGCTAAAATTAAATCATTCTTCTCAAAATAATTAAGCAACTAATTGGTTTAATTTCAATCATGGGAGAGAGGGGGGATCAAGATGGTGGAGCAGGAAGACCCTGAGTTCACCACCCCCGACGAACACATCAAAACTACAACCACGTACGGAGCAACTCTCTCCTAGAACGACCTGAAACGACCTGAAGACGAGTAGAATGGCTCTTTTACAACAAAGCCTGTGAAGAAAGAACCCCATGGAGGCTGGTAGGAGGGGAGGAAAAGAGATCTAGTTGGGACCCACGCCCCTGGTGGGCGACCCAGAAAAGGAGGGGGATGTCACAAGTTCAGGGATCTTCCCTAAAGAGTGAGGGGTTTGACCATATGATCATCTCAATAGATGCAGAGAAAGCTTTTGACAAAATTCAACACCTATTTATGATAAAAACCCTGCAGAAAGTAGGTGTAGAGGGAACTTTCCTCAATATAATAAAGGCCGTATATGACAAGCCCACAGCCAACATCATCCTCAATGGCGAAAAACTGAAAGCATTTCCACTAAGGTCAGGAACAAGACAAGGTTGCCCACTCTCACCACTCTTATTCAACATAGTTTTGGAAGTTTTAGCCACAGCAATCAGAGAAGAAAAGGAAATAAAAGGAATCCAAATCGGAAAAGAAGAAGTAAAGCTGTCACTGTTTGCAGATGACATGATACTATACATAGAGAATCCTAAAGATGCTACCAGAAAACTACTAGAGCTAATCAATGAATTTGGTAAAGTAGCAGGATACAAAATTAATGCACAGAAATCTCTGGCATTCCTATATACTAATGATGAAAAATCTGAAAGTGAAATCAAGAAAACACTCCCATTTACCATTGCAACAAAAAGAATAAAATATCTAGGAATAAACCTACCTAAGGAGACAAAAGACCTGTATGCAGAAAATTATAAGACACTGATGAAAGAAATTAAAGATGATACAAACAGATGGAGAGATATACCATGTTCTTGGATTGGAAGAATCAACATTGTGAAAATGACTCTACTACCCAAAGCAATCTATAGATTCAATGCAATCCCTATCAAACTACCACTGG